CCCTTATCTGCTCCTGGGTCTCCTCACAGCCCTCGGATCGCTGCCTCACTCCAGCAGAAGTAGCGGTCACTACATACTCCACATAATTCCTAAGAGGAATTTAGTTCATATCAGAAAATACAATTTAGGAACAGTATTTGCAACATGCTCAAGCTTATTTTAAAAAATAAGCATGGATGTAAACTTATTTTCCTCAGATTTCTTTAATAAGCTCTTTTTACTTATTTTACATTGCACAACATAAAGGAAAAAGGACAATTCCATGTGTTTGTACTCAAGAGTTAGGAAACCCATAATTTATGGCTCTTTTTTTAATCTGGAAAAAATCTGTTTTTCTTCCATCTGAACAAAATGTTGGAAGAAATCTGAGTGCTGATTGCTAATGCAGCCTTTCTCGTGATCCATCCATACACAGGACAGCACGGCAACCAGCCTTGTTGCTACATGTCTCACTGTATTCCCACAGCCATGGAGGAAACTGCACACTAGTGTCCACAGACTCGGTATAGCCCTGTTCCTGATGTTGGACCCACACAAAAGCCAGAAACAAATATTAACAATGAGGAGAGTTTTTGCAACATATCCGAATCCATCCACTTAAGGCTTGTACACATTACAGTGAAACAGCTGTTCTCAATATAAAACAAAATTAACCCAATGGTCATTGATAATCAGGGCAGTTTGAACTCCCATTCTGTGACTTGGGAAATGGCAACAATTACATTTCGGAGCTCCTGTCCTCTTTGCAGGAAGACACTGTGCCCTGTCTTCTCACTCTACTACTCTCTCGAGGTCCTGCCCACTGTTTAAAGGCTGTGACTGTTCTCAAGAGGCTCTGCCCTGTCTTTAGAGGCTGTGTATTGATGTGACAAGAGGTCATTTTACAAGGCTGGAGTGCTGTTTTAACCACCTCACAACTACAATGCCAAATATATTTTTGGGAAAAAAAAACCCTAATAACATAATTTTAATCTTTGTGATAACCAGTAAGAAATTACGTAAAAAAAATGCATGTACAGTTAAATTTATTTTTGGGACTCATTTTTAGAAGTTTGTTCGAAATTCAAATAAATTCCCAAAAAACAGATTGAAATTCTCTTGAGTAGCACAGGCCCCTGACAAGTCAGAGTGAGAGCAGTCTGCTGACAGTGAGATTATAATTAAAACGCTGCAGAAGTGTGGAAAACCCCACATGGGCTGATTTCACTCTGCTTCCTTTCACACTCTGGCAGCGTGACTGAGCACGGCCAATGCACAGACAGGGAGGAGGACTGGAGCACAGAGGCACAGGGCACTATTCCTCTTCATCAGGCTAAACGCACACCAAGCGTGTGGAGAAGAAAATATTTCTTTCATATTCATCTTCTGGAATAACAGAAATTCACTTAAAAATATCTCAAACACTTCCAGAAGTACACCTAATTCTTCACAAGGTGACCCTTCATGAGAATTGCATTCATTGGCCTCCCTGAGGAAACCAACTCAACTCACTCCAGCACACGCACAAGTGAGCAGATGGCCTAAAGATGTGCAGGTGCCCATAAATATTCACTGCTCGAAAGAAGCATCAGGGAATGTACTGTAAATCTAACATAGAAGATACCTGCCTCTGATCACTCACGTGAGCTTTTTGGTTGAATTTGAATACTGGAATAATTGATTCATGCACATAAACCTATCCAGAGCGGACATCGTGTCCAAACTCAGTGTCCTTCCAAATGCTTTTCCTCCCCACTTTGCCCCCCGTCCCAAAATCTGCCCAGGAATCAACATCTCCAGCCCAGCAACATCTGGAGCTGGTTTGTTTTCTCGCTTCAGTCCAGTGTCAGAGCCTCAGAGAGGCCTGTGTCATGTTGGGAACACAGGCCCTCTCTAAAGCAACCTCAGGAATGTCAGAAATCCTCTCCCTCTCACACACAGCAGAGGGGATTTTTCACAACAAGATTAGATACCCTCAGAACTATGTACTACAGATGCTACAAATTCTGCCAGGGGCCTGGAAATTTCCAGCATTCTTCTGCAGAGTGACAGTGAAGAGACCAAGACAGAGAGATACCAGATGCTGCACACCACACGGGGCAACTCCATGCTAACATACAGCAAGAATGATACATTTGTGATTTCACTGAGAAGACATTTAACTCCTACAGCCCATAACACAGTCCCCATGCTCAAACGAAAGGACAATGGGTGAGAA